ACATAATACTCGTCATAGCTGGTGCCCAAACAGGGACTCCAACATAACCAATGTCACAGCCGGTGACCCTGTGTCAGGAAACCCAAGGTGTAAAAAACTCAGTGCTCCAAAAGGACTCATATTTCTTGATTTGAAAACTTACTACAAACTAAAGTAATCAAAACAGTGTGGTACTGGCATAAAGACAGCCTATACATTAAGATACCATCTCACACCAGTTAGAATGGCAATCACTAAAAAATCTGGAGACAACAGATGATGGAGAGGATGTGGAGAAATAGGAACACTCTTTCACTGTTGGTGGGAGTGTAATTAGTTCAAGCATTGTGGAAGACAGTGTGGCGATTCCTCAAGGATCTAAAAATAGAAATTCCATTTGAGCCAGCAATCCCATTACTGGGCATATACCCAAAGGATTATAAATCGTCCTACTATAAGGACACGTGCACACGAATGTTCATTGCAGCACTGTTTACAATAGCAAAGACCTGGAACCAAGCCAAATGCCCATCGATGATAGACTGGACAGGGAAAATGTGGCACATATACACCATGGAATATTATGCAGCCATCAAAAACGATGAGTTTGTGTCCTGTGTAGGGACATGGATGAACCTGGAAACCATCATTCTCAGCAAACTGACACAAGAGCAGAAAATCAAACACTGCATGTTCTCACTCATAGGCGGGTGTTGAACAATGAGAACACATGGACACAGGGAGGGGAGCATCACACACTGGGGTCTGTCGGGGGGAAATAGGGGAGGGACTGCGGGGGTGGGGAGTTGGGGAGAGATAGCATGGGGAGAAATGCCAGATATAGGTGAAGGGGAGGAAGGTAGCACATCACACTGCCATGTGTGTACCTATGCAACAATCTTGCATGTTCTTCACATGTACCCCAAAACCTAAAATGCAATCGGTAAATAAATTTTTTGAAAAGACAGCCTATAGACCAATTGAGTAGAATAAGGAGTCCAGAAATAAGCCCTTTCGTATATGGCCAGATGATTTTCTACAAGGGTGGCAAGAACATTCAATAGGAAAGCAATAGTCTTCAACAAACAGTGCTGGAAAAACTGGTTATCCACATGAAAAAGAATTAAGTTGAAGCCTTATCTAACGCCATATAAGAATTTACTCAAAATGGATCCATTACCTAAACGTAAGGCCTAAAATTATAAAACTCTCAGGAGAAAACTTAGGACAAAACTTTGTAACATTGGATTTGACAATGATTGTTTGGATATGGCACCAAAGGCACAGGCAATGAAAGAAAAGGACAAATTGGACTTCATGAAAATTTTAAAAATTTGTTCATCAAAAGAGACCATCAGCAGTTAAAAGACAACCCACAGAATGGGAGAAAATATTTGCAAATCATATATCAGATAAGGGATTACTATCCAGAATATATGGAGAACTCCTAAAACTCAACAATAAGAAAGCAGACAAACTGATTCAAAAATGGGTGAAGGATTTGAGTAGGCATTCCTCCAGAGAAGATCTACAAATGGCCAATAAACGCTCAATATCACTAATCATTAGAGAAATATAAATCAAAACTACAAAGAGATACCACCTCACACCCATTAGGATGGCTACTGTCAAAACTAAAACAGAAAAAAATGAGTGTTGGTGAGTATGTGGAGAAACTGGAACCCTTGTGCACTGTTGGGAATGTAAAAATGGTACAGCTGCTGTGGAAAACAATAGGGCAGTTCCTCAAAAAATCAGACAGAATTACCATGTGATCAAGCAACTCAGCTTCTGGTTATATACACAAAAGAACTGAAATGAGGTCTTAAAGAGAACATCAATTGTATTAGGGTTCTCCAATGAAACAGATCCAAGAGTGTATACACACACACAAACACACACGTATATATGTATATCCCAATGGTAAAAAGTACAGGGTCTGAGTCAGAGGACAGAATCAAGAATGCTGATGTCCAAGGGCAGGAGAAGATAGACGCCCCAGTTCAAACAGGAAGAGTGAATTTGCTCTTCCTCTGTCTTTTTATTCTATTCAGGCCCTCAATGGAATGGATAATACCCACACACATTGGAGAGAGTGATCTTCTTTACTCAGTCTACAAATTCAAATGCTATTCTTTTCTGGAAACATCATCACAGACATACCCAGAAATACCATGTATCTTGACATCTCTTAGCCCAGTCAAGTTGACATGTAATGTTAACCATGATATCCATGTTTATAAGCAGCATTATTCATGATAGCTAAAATGTGGAAGTACTGCAAGTGTCTATCAACAGATGAATGGATAATCAAATTGTGGTATATACACACAAAGCATTAAGAAAGAAGGAAATTTTGATACATGCTACAACATGGATGAAACTTGAGTATATTATGCTAAGTGAAATAAGCCAGTCACAAAAAAACAAATGCTGTGTGATTCCACTTATATTGGGTACTTAGTCAAAATCATACAGAAAGTAGAATGGTGGATGCCAGAGACTGGGGGAAGTGGGAGTTATTGTTTAATGTTTATACAGTTTCAGTTTGCAACATAAAATTAAATATGTAGGTGGATGGGAGCACATTACACATTTCTTTTTTTGTTTTTTGAGATGGGATCTCACTCTGTTGTCCAGGCTGGGGTGCAGTTTTTGTGATCATAGCTCACTGCAGCCTCAACTGCCTGGGCTCAAGTGATCCTCCCCTCCCCAGGCACCAAAGTATCTAAGACCACAGGTGCACACCACCACACCTGGCTAATGATTATTTTATTATTGTTATTATTATTTGTAGAGGCCAGGTATTGCTATGTTGCCTAGGCTTGTGTTGAACTCCTGGGCTCAAGTGATCCTCCTGCCCTGGCTTCCCAAAGTGCTGGGGTTACAGATGTGTGCCACCAGACCTGGCCAGAATTCATTTAATACTACTTAACTGTACACTTAAACATGGTTAGGCTGGACATGGTGCCTCACACCTATAATCCAAGCACCTGGGGAGGCCAAAGAGAGTGGCCTCCTTAGTAACATGGTGAAACCCCATCTCTACAAAAAAATTAGCTGGGCGTGGCAGCATGCACCTGTAGTCCCAGCTCCTCTGGTGGCTGAGGTGGGAGGATCATTTGAACCCGGGAGGTGTATGTCGCCACTGCACTCCTGCCTGGACGACAGAGTGAGACCCTGTCTCAAAAAAAAAAAAAAAAAAAAAAAAAAAAAAAAAAAAAAAAAAAAAAGGTTAAGATAGTGAATGTTGTCTGTATTTTACTGCAATTTTAAAAATTGGAAAAAAATCCACATGGGTCACCAATTTACCAATTTAGCCATTTTCACCATTTTCAGATTGCATTTTCCTTCTCTATCTCAGCACTCCCACTAAAGGAAAGGCAAAATTTCTCACAAGAATAAATGATTCTCCAGTGTGGCTACTCCTGAAAGGAACAATGAGACTTTTGTTATTTCACCACAAGGCTGAGAAAGAAATAAACAAGTGATAAACGCCCAGACCCCTTCTTATTCTTTTCACATCCTGGTAATCTGAGGCATGGTATGGCTTTTACTCAAAGCATATGAATACTTAAAATCAGAAGCTGCCTCTCCTTTCCCTCACTTTATCATTATTGTTGTCATGTATGACAAGGGAGGGAGTGTCTCACTGGATGATATTTGGGGTTCTTTCTTCAGTAGTCCCACATACTGAGCATTTACTTGTGCTGTTCTTCATCTTTCACATCTACCACTTTTCGAAAGCCCCTGAGAGTCAGTAAGACATGAGATTCAAACAACTGCTTCACATCTAAGTATATGTCTTCAAAAATGTCTCGTTTTCCATATTTATGTCTGATGTGTTTTTTTGTGGCACAGTGGCATGTACTATATAGTTCATAAGTGAATCAATGTACATCTGTGGAGGGTGAATGCTCAGTTTTAGATCTACACATGAAAGCTTTTTTCCAGGGCAAGAGCCTTGCTTTCTCCACCTAAGCCTTAATTACCCAAATGGTCATGTGTTGTGCCTTTGGCTTGTTGAAATGATACCAATTGGTAAAATCTGATGGGAGATAAAAGTTAAATATCCAGGAGCCTAAAAGTCAGGAAGAGAGGCTCTCTATGGCATAGAGAAAGCTGCAGAACTGCTCCATGGTGTGCAAAACTCATCAGCACATAAAACTACTGAGTAAAGATACTCACCTTCAACCACTTTGTAATTTCTACCTATTTACTTGGGGCCAATGTTCCTTATTCACCAAGATTCACATTGGTCCTTTTGACTGGTCCTCAGCCTGAGGAGGCCCCCAGGCATGCTAAACTGTCAGGCAGGGAAAGAGGAAAAGTTGGGAACCAGCCTTGGCTTAAAAGGGTTTTGAAAATGGAGGCAAATAATAACATTTTGGAAACATTTATATAAATATATAATTTCTGATTATAGAAAGGCTATAGGAGGCTCAGGAGAACCACTTAGAAGACTGGAAATGGTACCTATGGAACTTTGAAGACACTGACTACTGGTTCATAAATAAATGAGTAACTGGCAGTATCTGACTGCAGACAAGAATGAGCATTAATGTAGGATGATTCTGAACTACAGCTCCTGGCACTAGTAGGTTTCAATATACATAGTCTGCTGAAAGATAATTTTCTCTGTGATATTCCTGGTATCCCTAAGGAGGGTAGTATAATTTTAGGTACATGCTGACAAAATTTGAATACAAGGTTCTTAGGTGAAAGTTACAGTCCGTTTTAGACATGAAATTGAAGCATCCAGTCGCTATTGCTTTGGCAAAGGATTTTTGACTGATGCAGTGTATGGGTACCCATAATTTTATGATTTATCTTATCATATGGCACCTAATGTATTAGCTGACTTGTGAAAACAGTGTTTTGGTTTAATGGATGTTAGGGATTTATGTACAACTTCAAATTTGCCTTGTTAATAGTAGAAAAGAATAGTATGGAAGCATTACTTCCAGCTGCTTTTTGAAGGGTCCACCAAAATGAATGATTTTTTTCCTTTCTTCATGCAGATTTCCTCCTAGAGTGCCAAGATCTTTTCCATTCAACACCTCAGTCAAGTACAAAAAGACTGTGTTTGTAGAATTCACGGATCACCTTTTCAACATCGCTAAGCCAAAGCCACCCTGGATGGGTAATAAAAACAACATTGAATGCTAATTATGAAATAGGGTATCTTATTTTCTATCACAGATTCCCCAATCTTGAGGTTGCAGTTAAAAAGGACAGCTGCCAAAAAGAATGTTTCCCTAACTGACACCTATAGGGAAATATACTGATTGCATTTTCTGTCTTTTTGCTGGGCCGTCTTCCTCTGCTTGGTCTATGCCAACTGCTTACCTCCACTTAGATGTCGAAGAAAGTATGTAATAACATGTTAGGATAGGACATATTCTGTCTTAGAATTGTTTCTGAGAATTATAGGTGGGAAGTACCCCCTTATTCTAAAGAGCGGTATCACTCTATCAATTTAGAACTTGTTCAGGTAGTAGTGCAAAATCGGTTCTGCAACCCTTAGCCCCTGACTCACCTCCAGCCTTATATTAAAAAAGGCTAGGAACTTATGGAAGAGTTTAGGTTTGAGTATTACTTTGGAGAGCCTCTTTGGTGTTTTATGTGCTGCTTACCCCTTGTGGGGAGAGAGGCCTGTCCCTCATGTCAAGCTATAATGAAGGAGGCTTCAGGAGAACTACTTAGAAGACTTGAAAAGGTACCTATGGAACTTTGGAGACACTGACTACTGCCTGGTTTTTATCTGGACAAATTTTCAAGGTCAGAGGCCAAAAGGACTTCTGATGGAATAGCAGGGAGAGTGGGCTATAGTGGGAGCTAACTGCACTGCCATTGTTGGGTATAAGGCCAGGAAAGTCACTGAATGAGGCTTGTCTTACAAAGACTCTACCTGAGAGGTCTTCCTGCCAGAGTTAGGTAACCCCAACAGAAAAAGTGTAGAAGCAGAATCTGAGAGGCGAGATACAAGTGACCAGCATGTAAGATCACGTACATATTGGGAGGCAGATCAGGTACATATTGGGTGTTTCTATATTGGGAGAGAGAGCTCTCCAAAGAACCTATAAGTTCCCTAAGAACAAAAGGCAGAATTTTGGTATGTGTCACAACTAGGGAGTACTAATGCCACATTATCACTGCTCCTTCCAAGAAAGACTTTGTCATTGTGCCTCTTTTTTTTAACCCCCGTTCCCTTTCTACTTGCTCCTCCCTTGGAGCTTTCCCACCTTCCTCTCCTAATCTTCCTCCACAACTCACCTTTCTGCCTCTGGACTCTCCAAAGGCAAGAAAAGAGATATCTCATATAATGTAATTAAAACCAGTGGTCCAAGAAAAATAAGGCTATTTTATGTTTTTAATCCCACTAAATCCAGTTCATTCAATAAACTGTTTATAGGCATTTTATGCTTAGTGTATTCATAAAACAAAGCTCTTAATTTTCCTCTTGATTTTCTGTCATGGCCCGACTAACAACCCATGGTTTGACTCCTCTCTGTTTTTTTCTCTTTCTAGCATCATATCTATGACCAAGTCCTATTGACTGTTCCTCCAAAACAAGTTCCTCATCTTCTTCTTCTACTTCTTGTAAAATCCAAATTCCTGTAGGCTACAAGGTCCTACATATTATGTTTCCTTTGTAACCATATTTTCTGTTACTCCCCTGCTCATTCACTGTGCTTCAGCCACATTTTACTCAACTATACCAGGCTTATTTCTGCCTCCAGACTTTTGCATTTGTTTTATTTGCTTTCAATGCTCTTCCACTAGATCTTTTAAAAATCTTCCTTCATTCTCATTAGTGAGATCGCTACTCAAATGTCACCTCCTCCCAGAGGCCCTTCCTGATCATTACACTGAAAGTATCCTCTACCTCCTGCCTCATCATTTTCTAGCAGACACCCTCTTTTATAATATTTATAACAACTTGAAATGTTCTTATTTATTTCTTTATGTGGTTAATGTTTTAAGAATATGATCTCCATGATCTGCCTTGTTTGCTACTGCAACTCCAGCACATAAGGCAATTCCTAGAATATAGTAGAAACTCTAGCTGAATGAATGAATGAATTGAATGATTGGTTGAATGAATGAATGAATTGAATGATTGGTTGAATGAATGAATGAATTGAATGATTGGTTGAATGAATGAATGAATTGAATGATTGCCAGAAATCTTTCCTCAGAGCAACCATGAGGTTGAGCTGGTGTTGGCAACAAGCAAATACTATTTTTTATCAATAATTACAGAGGCACGCTTCTCACTGTGACTTTGACTCTAACTTTTGTAATAACAGGTTTTCTGGAGTACTATCCCCAAGTGACCTTTGGTGGACATCTCATTCTTACAGGTCTGCTGGGTCCTACCATTCAGGCTGAGGTTTATGACACAGTGGTCATTACACTTAAGAACATGGCTTCTCATCCTGTGAGTCTTCATGCTGTTGGTGTATCCTACTGGAAAGCTTCTGAAGGTGAGTCAAATACCCTCCTATTGTCCTGTCATGCTAGGAATAGAAGAGTGAGATGTGTGTGCTTTGTAATGGTGGCACAGCTGGAGGTAGATCCATTCTCTTAAATACAAACTTACTGAAAAATAATAATAACAACAATAATGACTAACATGTATTGAGTTCAAGGTTGTACAGCTAGTAAGTGGTGGAACCAGGATTCAAACCTAGCCCTATATAACTCCAGAACTTATACTTTGAACCACTGTGCTACAGTGCAAGCATTCATATAAATAATATCGAATTTCATTTATGTAACTGAAAACTTCCATGGAGTCGATCAAATATGGCTGGACTCAAGGATTCAAGGGATACTCTCAGCATTGTGGCCATTTTTCTCCCACCATCTCAGCTGGGCTACCCTTTTTGGTTTCATTCTCAGGCAGGCTTTTCTAATATGATGGCAAAGATAGCCACGGCAGCTCAAGGCTTATCTTGTTCTTACAGATTATGACCCAGGAGTGGGAAGGAAGCCCCTATCCCAGTATTTCTTGATGTTGAGTGGAAGAGTTAGCAAGCAGGAGGAAGCATCAGTCTCACCCAATCCAATGACAATGGTAGAAGGACCAAAGTGAGAGACCTAGTCACTACAGTGGACTCTGTAGCAAGGACATTGTTTTATGAAGCCCAGTAGAGTTGTAGTGTCCCGGAGTTAGTTATTCGAGAGGTTAAAGTTAATTTGCTTGCAGGGCATCTTTATTTGAGACAGACAACTGTATTTTTTTCTACCTGTATGAAAATATCTCTCTGAATTTCCAAATCTCCAAAATTTCTGCTTTACCTGGGTCACGCAGACCTCTTTAATACAAATGAACATAGTCTGGAGATTGATGTGGGCAAACTAGAGTGCAAAACAAATTCCTATAGCTAGTATAGAAGTTGCTAGAGAGCAAACGGAGACATTTGTAGATCTCATTTTCATGTAATTCAAAACCTAGAGCAGTCAATAAAGGATAGAAAGCATAAACTCAGTACAACCACGCTCTGCCTAAGTCTCTGCTCATTTTTAGAAATTGAAAATTCTTTCAACTCTTTTAAGGTCCTAACTGAACATTATGTCTGTTTCTTAACAGTTACTAGAATATAAATATCTTAAGATAGGGACATCCATTTTACTTATTGCTATATCCTTAGCATACAACATATTGACTACCCTATAGTGTATACTCAATACAAGAATGAGGGTGTAGTGGATACCAGTCACTTTTTCTTCCTAAAATTAAACATTCCTCACCTGTGTACCCCCTAGGAATTGGTTTTTTGAATGTACTTCAAATAGAGCCGGCCATTTTCTAATGCCTGTGCCTCCCTAGCAGTTGACATAGGTTTCCCACGTCCTTGGCCACAGTTGATCAGTCCAGAGATAAGTACTTTGCACAAGCTAGGCCAATGAGAGTACTTCCTCTAGCATTTTGAAACTTGTGAGAAAAAGGACCTACTGTTACCAGGTAATCCTATACTTAGGGGATGGAGCCCGAATATATGACAAAATCAAGATTCTACTCTTCATGGATAGGAGTCTTAAGGGGGTGTTGGTCTTGTCCTTTTTATAGTTGCCTAGCTCCTTACAGACATGGTGCATAGCTCAACATTGAGGACATTTTCCAAAGATTGGTGGAGAAAAGAGTGGCCAATACAATTTTATCTTTTTTTTTTCTGCTGACATCAGGGAGAGATAAAAGCTTTAAAATCACAATTATGGGGAGATAATATTTTTAAATCCAGCTCAAGTTAAACTCATCGGAAAAGGTAACAGGATCCCCAAATGGCCACATCTTATCCGATGAGGGGACACCAACCACAGACTCTATACTAGACAGTTCAAGTGGTAGCCACAAGCTACCAGGCATTTGAGGTGTGGTGAGTCCTACCTGAGACATGCTGTAAAATATACACCAGATTTCAAAGGCTAAGTACAAAAAAGACTAAAAATATCTCATTCATTGTTTATAAGTACAAGTTGAAATGCTTATATTTGGATATACTAGGTTAAACGAAATACATTATCAAAATAATTTCACCTGTTTCTTTTTACTTTTCTTGATGTGACTACTAGAAAATTTTAAATTATATATGTGGTTTGCATTATATTTATATCGAACAATACACACCTGTACACTTCCAGTGAAATGTTTAGCATGTGTTGAAGTTGCTGCTCCTGAGTGGTGGCTCATCTCAGATTTGGCCATGTTCTTCTGTCCAAGGAAAACTAGGTCCAACCCATTCCTGGAGAGGAAGAGTCTCAAAGCTTTCTGGGCTGGGTCACTTACCTTGGTTAAATCTGTTCTCCACCTATTCTACCAACAACCAAGTGGATGGACATAGCTGAAATAAAAAATCACACAATCACAGTGAATAGTATCTCACCTCAAGTGGGACTTCAGCTTTGCCTGGCCATTGTACTGCTACACTTCCCCAATCCGTTTACTCTCCCTCTCCCCAAGACATTCTTAGCCTCTCACAGAAACTCCAACATGGGGGCAGCCCCTGCCGCCACCACCACCTGAGTCTTGAGTCTTAGGAAAAAGGATATATTTTTCCTAATGAAATATTTCAAACAAAGATAGATACAGAAATTAATATAGCAAACAAACATGTGCCCATTATCTCACTTTGCGAAATCTTAACATTTTGTCATCTTTGCTTAATTTATTTTATGAAATTAAACATTTTAAATACAGTCTGTACCCCTCCATGGGGCTAGCAGGAAAGGGCTCTCATTGTCAAAGTTCAAAGCAATTGATCATTCAAAAAATAATTATCACATTAAAAATAACCCTTATGTGGCTCCAGGGGTGCAATCAGTTAGCATGTGGTACTTATAAAAAGAACCCTTATATAATAGAGATACGTATTTAAATACTCATAAATGGAATGATATCCTGTCTAGGATTGGCTTCAAATAAATCCAGCTGATGTTACAACCATTAGGGAATTGCTGATGTGGAATTTGACATTTGTATGGTGCCAAAATAGTATCCCAGAGATTTATTTCTGATTGTAAGTGGAAATCTTAACTTTAGAATGGAGGTATCAGGCTAATCCACAGGTCAATTTTAGTGTCACTAAGGGTGAGATGGCCATATATTATCTGCCCCTGATACGACACAATATGAGGGACTCTAGCTAGTTAGCCCAAAAACCTTGTTTAACTTGAATCTAACCAGAACTTAGGTACATTCAATAGCATGGGATATTCTACAGGACTACAAGCCAAATTTCTTTCACCAAATGAGTCACAAACAAGGGACTACTCCATACTAAAAGAGACTACCAGATGCAATGTGCAGTCTCAGGTTGGATTCTGATTTGGACTAACTAGCTAGAAAGGATGCCTTTGAGGCAATTAAGAAAATTTGAATATTGCATTGATATTAGGTGGTATTAAGAATTATTTTTTTTTTTTTTTTTTTT